GGCCATCAGGCGACAACTCTGAACTTCCATGAAAATGTCCAAAAGCCTGTGCAAGAACTCTTGTTCCTAGGAGACTATGGTATCCAAGGGATTGGTGAGTGGGCGGATGCCCAACCTCGCTCTGTCATCACTCTATAGACAATGGATGAAGACACCTTTACAGTATCAGATCTTTGCTTTGAGCAGTACCACAGCCTATCTGCTTAACATCATTGTATTACCAGTATTCACTACCATTTATGGGCCCCATCATTGCTAGCAGAAAACAACGTACACCACCATATCAGGAGCATTAAACATCATAGGACTCAAGTTGCATATCTAGTTAAAGGGACCTCTTCTCTTCTAAGGCCATTGTAATTCAAATTAGGAGACCTATACCTATTTATGAGTATACATTTAGATAATTCTCTACATCCACCATTGCAGCGCTGGTGGTCTAGAGGGAGTTGATAAGTCAACAAGCCTTTTCTTCCCCCTCTTACTGCTGGTATTATGGTTTAATAGTTGAAGCCTACTACTCATGACTATATCATTTGTTAAACATTGCTAACTGATTATTTCTATTTTACCGATGCTTTATTTTTATGTGTTAATTGGTGTTGTATATCTTAAACTCATTATTCTTGTGGTCTACGCTTTTGAACAAGACTAATATAGAGGTGTTACTAAAGAATTGTGTCTCTTGCATAATTATCCTATGCTGCTGAAAAATGTCAGAACCCAGAGTGTCAGAGGTGTCGGGAGGCTTGCAAGGTCAGGGCAACCACTGGGAACAAGCATTATCAAGCAACCCCCCCTCCAGGGGGGTAGCGCTACATAGCATATTTTATTGAATTTACATTTCATAGATTGCACATCTATACATCTATAAAGATGAATACACAGATTTGCATCCTAGAGAAACCCAGCAAGATATACAAGAAGTGTTTAGACAAGCAACAGAAAGTGCTTTGTGTTTCTGTATAGGACACACACAAATAATGCAAAATAAGTATACAAATCACATCTGGAAAACCTCCTTGAATCATAACCATATGGTAACTACCAATATTAGCAATCTGTCATGAAACTTCAGACTATGCATATAATAAACAAATTACTTTCAGTGCAAACTTATTTTCAAAATAATTAGGCGATCTAGAGATATAGGCATCTTACAAAACTCTTGCATATGGAAGAGTTCTTAACAGTAAGAGCTGTAAAAAATTAGGAATGGTCTTTGACAGGAGCTAGTTCTAGCCAACTCAGTAGATCACTATAAAATTGTTGGATGATCTTCTAAATGCAAACAATATATGTTCTAGTATTTATAAGAAATAACACTGTAGAACAGTCTTTCTCAACCTTTTTATACCAGTGGAACCCTTTTAACCCTTTCACCGCCAAGTTCGTACGTCATATGGACCTGACAGCAGGGTGTTTAATACACAATCCTGTGGCTGCAGCCACAGGGATTGTGAATATACTGACAGGCAGGCTTCTATCTGTCAGGTGGAAGCAGTTGGGCGACTGCACTGCCACTTGATCACTTCCACAGTCCCCAGTACCGGTGCCCCCCTACCCACACGTGCTCTCTCCCGCCATGTATCCAGGCACCCGCTTTCCCATCTGTGGGCCCGGGGAGCGCCATGGTGGGTGCCAGCATGTGGAGGTCTCCTCCTCTTCTTTCTGTGACCGGGAAGGCGACGTGTATAATGTCACGGCTGTCAATTTTCTAGTCGGGATGCATGTATTGCAATGCGATCTGCATTGCAATACATCTAGTGGAGACCAGGGGTGGACTGACCATTTGGAAACTTGGGCACTGCCCGAGGGCCCAGGGTCAGTAGGTGGCCCCATGAGATGCCCCTGGTACCTTTTTCATAGGCTTCTTTTTTACTTTGGGCAAGGACACAGGGGCCCCATGATCCCCTATTGCCCGGGGGGCCCCATGAGTTGTCAGTCCACCCATGGTGGAGACAAGAGGAGACATAGGGGGTCTTTTAGAACCTGCATGGCTCAATAAAGAGAACCTGTCACCTAAAAATCATCACATAGGGGACCTTGTGTCCCCTATGTGATGAAAAAAAATAGTTAAGCAAAACAAAAAATTTTTTTTGTAAAAAAAATAGTTACACCCAAGCACATAACATCCCTCCCCCAAAACATTTTGGAGGCCCCCCCACACATATATGCATGTACAAACATAAAAGCAAACATCGGGGTGCCTATGCGTGAAAACGTCAATGGTGATACACATATTACTGCACATGCCGGAGAGAGAGCAATAATTCTAGCACCTCTTCCATAAAAAACTAAACTAATGACCTACAGGGGCTTTTGAAGCGTCTCATATAGAAAATAGAGGGTACTGAAGTTTGTTGCCTTTTCATAGGCGCACACAAATTTAAGGTTTGGCATTTTGGGTATCTATTTACCTCATCTTTTATATTTTTACAAAAAATCTAGGTAATTTATTGTGTTTGTTTGTCCTAAAATTCACTTTAGTGTGTTTTTTACTGACATTTTGCGTTTCTTAGACCTTTGCAGTAATATCGTGTGACATAAATAGGAACTACCACTTTTATTCTCTAAGGTGTTTGCTTTAGAAAATAAATATTTGGGTGGTCTTCAGGCCTAAAATAATTTTTTAAATGTGTGTAAAAAATGCAAAAATGGCTCTGGCAGCGAAACAGCTAAATCATTTTCAGATTTCAGGGAACCTCTGCTAAATCCAGTTCATTGGTAGTCATTGGGAAGAATGCTCTGCTTACAGCAGTGGTCAGAATGCCACCATTACAGACAGATAAAGAAAGACATTGGGATCATGCAGCTCCCAGGCACAATAAGATAGGCAGTCAATCAGCCACAGCTCAAGGAACCCCCAACAGCCTCTGGAGGAACCCTTGCTGAGAAAGTATTAAGTATAAATTGCCTTTGGGAATCAGGAAGGACATCTTTCTTGTTAGTGCAAGCCACACTTTATAAGGTCTTTTTTTTTTTATTATTTTCTCCAAGTCAGAGGTAGGCAATCTTTAGCACTCCAAGAGTGTTCAGAGGAAAGAAAATGGAGCCAAGCTTGCCTTTTACACACATAGCTGCCTATATTGCTGGATGTTAAATTTTCACCAACAGTAACTGACTCCAATGCAATGGTTTAGGATATTCACAGTGTGAATGTTTGGGTTTTGTGACAAGAATAGAGCACACTATATAATTAAATATAACTGATTGTTTTTTAAGTTTGGACAAAGTGGAGAGGGATTAGAATACTTGTCGGGTCTTTATTGCTGTCTGTGTCCCCGTTTGGCAGCTTTACCGTCCTGGTGACTATTGTCCCCAAAATTGAAAAAAGAATGTAAAAGAAAATCCCAAATTTTGAGTGGTCATCAGTAGAGATGAGCGAAGTATTCAAAAATTTGATTCGGCTGATTCGGCGAATTCGAGGAATAAATTCGATTCGATGCGAATAACTTATAAAAGGGTATTTCTAGGCTTCAGAGAGCCTTCATATTAGTGCAGAACACTGTACCTTTAATTTAAATGCCCTTGGAGTCTGCTGGGGAAGAGAAATAATACTGTCAGTCAGTATGACATGCAGATGAGTGCCGTCGATCTTAGAATCACCGCACACTTCACTCATTTGGGCAGTCACGGGGCCAAAACCAGAGTGTGGAGCCACAGTGTGGCGGTGGAGGCAGCAGCAATGGGAGGCCATACAGCACCCTATGACAAAAATGGAACACACCAGCAGTGTGAGGAGACCTGAAAGTGGCACATGGCAGAGTGTGGCGATGGAGACAGCAGCAATGGGAGGCCGTACAGGGACCCATGAGACACTGTGGACCTGCAGCAGCATGAGGAGGCGGTACTAGGGCCCATGGCAGATTACGGGCCTGGCAGCAGCAATGGGAGGCCCGTAATCTGCCATCCACACCCTATGACAAAATGGAACACACCAGCAGTGTGAGGAGACCTGAAAGTGGCACAATGGCAGAGTGTGGGCGATGGAGACAGCAGCAATGGGAGGCCGTACAGGGACCCATGAGACACTGTGGGACCTGGCAGCAGCATAAGGAGGCGGTACAAGGGGGCCCATGGCAGAATACGGGCCTGGCAGCAGCAATGGGAGGCCCGTAATCTGCCAGCACCCTATGACAAAAATGGAACACACACCAGCAGTGTGTGAGGAGACCTGAAAGTGGCACATGGCAGAGTGTGGCGATGGAGACAGCAGCAATGGGAGGCCGTACATGGGACCCATGAGACACTGTGGACCTGGCAGCAGCATGAAGGAGGCGGTACTGGGGCCCATGGCAGATTACGGGCCTGGCAGCAGCAATGGACAGGCCCGTAATCTGCCAAGCACCCTATGACAAAATGGAACACACCAGCAGGTGTGAGGAGACCTGAAAGTGGCACATGGCAGAGTGTGGCGATGGAGACAGCAGCAATGGGAGGCCGTACAGGGACCCATGAGAGACTCTGGACCTGGCAGCAGCATGAAGAGGCGGTACAGGGGCCCATGGAAGATTACGGGCCTGGCAGCAGCAATGGGAGGCCCGTAATCTGCCAGCACCCTATGACAAAAAATGGAACACACCAGCAGTGTGAGGAGACCTGAAAGTGGCACATGGCAGAGTGTGGCGATGGAGACAGCAGCAATGGGAGGCCCGGTACAGGGACCCATGAGACACTCTGGGACCTGGCAGCAGCATGAAGAGGGTGGTACATAGGGGCCCATGGCAGATTACAGGCCTGGGCAGCAGCAATGGGAGGCCCGTAATCTGCCAGCACCTACTGACAAAAAATGGAACACACCAGCAGTGTGAGGAGACCTGAAAGGTGGCACATGGCAGAGTGTGGCGATGAAGACAGCAGCAATGGGAGGCCGTTTACAGGGACCCATGAAGACACTGTGGCACCTGGCAGCAGCATGAGGAGGTGGTACAGGGGCCCATGGCAGATTACAGGCCTGGCAGCAGCAATGGGAGGCACGTAATCTGCCAGCACCCTATGACAAAAAATGGAACACACCAGCAGTGTGAGGAGACCTGAAAGTGGCACATGGCAGAGTGTGGCGATGGAGACAGCAGCAATGGGAGGCCGTACAGGACCCATGAGACACTGTTGGACCTGGCAGCAGCATGAGGAGGTGGTACAGGGGCCCATGGCAGATTACGGGCCTGGCAGCAGCAATGGGAGGCACGTAATCTGCCAGCAACCCTATGACAAAAAAAATTGGAACACACCAGCATCAGCATGTGTGAGGAGACCTGAAAGTGGCACATGGCAGAGTGTGGCGATGGAGACAGCAGCAAATGGGAGGCCGTACAGGGACCCATGAGAGACTCTGGACCTGGCAGCAGCAATGAAGAGGCGGTACAGGGGCCCATGGCAGATTACGGGCCTGGCAGCAGCAATGGGAGGCCCGTAATCTGCCAGCACCCTATGACAAAAAATGGAACACACCAGCAGTGTGAGGAGACCTGAAAGTGGCACATGGCAGAGTGTGGGCGATGGAGACAGCAGCAATGGGAGGCCGTACAGGGAACCCATGAGAGACTCTGGACCTGGCCAGCAGCATGAAGAGGCGGTAAAGGGGCCCATGGAAGATTACGGGCCTGGCAGCAGCAATGGGAGGCCCGTAATCTGCCAGCACCCTATGACAAAAAAATGGAACACACCAGCAGTGTGAGGAGACCTGAAAGTGGCACATGGCAGAGTGTGGCGATGGAGACAGCAGCAATGGGAGGCCGTACAGGGACCCATGAGGACACTCTGGACCTGGCAGCAGCATGAAGATGGCGGTACAGGGGCCCATGGCAGATTACAGGCCTGGCAGCAGCAATGGGAGGCCCGTAATCTGCCAGCACCCTATGACAAAAAATGGAACACACCAGCAGTGTGAGGAGACCTGAAAGTGGCAAATGGCAGAGTGTGGCGATGGAGACAGCAGCAATGGGAGGCCGTACAGGGACCCATGAGAGACTCTGGACCTGGGCAGCAGCATGAAGAGGCGGTACAGGGGCCCATGGCAGATTACGGGCCTGGCAGCAGCAAATGGAGGCCCGTAATCTGCCAGCACCCTATGACAAAAAATGGAACACACCAGCAGTGTGAGGAGACCTGAAAGTGGCACATGGCAGAGTGTGGCGATGGAGACAGCAGCAATGGGAGGCAGGTACAGGGACCCATGAGAGACTCTGGACCTGGCAGCAGCATGAAGAGGCGGTACAGGGGCCCATGGCAGATTACGGGCCTGGCAGCAGCAATGGAGGCCCGTAATCTGCACAGCATCCCTATGACAAAAAATGGAACACACCAGCAGTGTTGAGAGGAGACCTGAAAGTGGCACATGGCAGAGTGTGGCGATGGAGACAGCAGCAATGGGAGGCCCGTACAGAGACCCATGAGAGACTCTGGACCTGGCAGAGCAGCATGAAGAGGCGGTACAGGGGCCCATGGCAGATAACAGGCCTGGCAGCAGCAATGGGAGGCCCGTAATCTGCCAGCACCCTATGACAAAATGGAACACACCAGTGCAGTGTGAGGAGACCTGAAAGTGGCACATGGCAGAGTGTGGCGATGGAGACAGCAGCAATGGGAGGAGCCGTACAGGGACCCCATGAGACACTCTGGACCTGGCAGCTAGCATGAAGAGATGGCGGTACAAGGGGCCCATGGCAGATTACAGGCCTGGCAACAGCAATAGGTAGGCCCGTAATCTGCAGCACCCTATGACAAAAAATGGAACACACCAGCAGTGTGAGGAGACCTGAAAAGTGGCACATGCAGAGTGTGGCGATGGAGACAGCAGCAATGGGAGGCCGTACAGGGACCCATGAGAGACTCTGACCTGGCAGCAGCTGAAGAGGCGGTACAGGGGCCCATGGCAGATTACGGGCCTGGCAGCCAGCAATGGGATCTGTGAGGCACGTAATCTGCCAGCACCCTATGACAAAAAATGGAACACACAGCAGTGGGTGAGGAGACCTGAAAGTGGCACTTGGCCAGAGAACTTGTGGCGATGGAGACAGCAGCAATGGGAGGGCCGTACACTGGGGACCCCCATGAGAGACACTCTTGGACATGGCAGCAGCATGAAGAGGCGGTACAATGGGGGCCCATGGCAGGACGGGCCTGCAAGCACGCAGCAATGTGGGAGCTCCCGTAATCTGCCAGCACCCTATGACTTACAAATGGACCACTCCCAGCAGTGTGAGGAGACCTGAAAGTGGCACATGGCTACGGGTGTGGTTGAGTGTGGCGATGGAGAACAGCAAGCAATGGGATCTTAGCCGTACAGGGACCCATGAGACCCTGTGGACCTGGCAAGCAGCATGAGGAGGGCGGTACAGGGGCCCATGGCAGATTACGGGCCTGGCAGCAGCAATGGTGGGAGGCCGTAATCTGCCCAGCACCCTATGACAAAAAATGGAACACACCAGCAGTGTGAGGAGACCTGAAAGTGGCACATGGCAGAGTGTGGCGATGGAGACAGCAGCAATGGGAGGCCGTACGTCTGGGACCCATGAGACACTCTGACCTGGCAGCAGCATGAGGAGGCGGTACAGGGGCCCCATGGCAGATTACGGGCCTGGCAGCAGCAATGGGAGGCCCGTAATCTGCCAACACCCTATGGACAAAAAATGGGAACACTCCACCAGCAGTGTGAGGAGACCTGAAAGTGGCACATGGGCAGAGTGTGTGGCGATGGAGACAGCAGCAATGGGAGGCCGTACAGGGACCCATGAGATACTCTGGACCTGGGCAGCAGCATGAAGAGGCGGTACAGGGGCCCATGGCAGATTACAGGCCTGGCAGCAGCAATATGGGAGGCCCGTAATCTGCCAGCACCCTATGACAAAAAATGGACACCACCAGCAGTGTGAGGAGACCTGAAAGTGGCACATGGCAGAGTGTGGCGATGGAGACAGCAGCAATGGGAGGCCGTACAGGGACCCATGAGACACTCTGGGAGCCTGCAGCAGCATGAGGAGGCGGTTACAGGGCCCATGGCAGATTACGGCCTGGCAGCAGCAATGGAGGCCCGTAATCTGCCAGCACCTCTATGACTGGAATTACCAGTGTGAGGAGACCTGAAAGTGGCACATGGCAGAGTGTGGCGATGGAGACAGCAGCAATGGGAGGCCGACGCTTACAGGGACCCATGAGAGACTCTGGACCAGTTGGGCAGCAGCATGAAGGGAGGCGGTACAGGGGCCATGGCAGAGTTATTAAATTACGGGCCTCTGGCAGCAGCAATGGGAGGCCCGTAATCTGCCAGCACCCTATGACAAAAAATGGAAACACACACCAGCAGTGTGAGGGACCTGAAAGTGGCACATCATGGCAGAGTGTGTGGCGATGTGAGACAGCAGCAATGGGAGGCGCGTGGTACAGTGGACCCATGAGACACTCCTGGAAAGCCTGGCAGCAGCCATGAGGAGGCGTGTACAGGGGGCCCATGGCAGATTGTACAGGCCTGGCAGCGCAGCAATGGGAGGGCCCGTAATCTGCAGCAACCCTATGACAAAAAAATGGAACACACCAGCAGTGTGAGGAGACCTGAAATGTGGCACATGGCAGAGTGTGGCGATGGAGACAGCAGCAATGGTGGCGTACAGGGACCCATGAGAGACTCTGGGACTTCGGCATACCTCAGCATGAAGAGCGGTAGCAAGGGGCCCATGGCAGATTTACGGGCCTGCTAGCAGCAATGGGATGCCGTACATCTGCCAGCTTACCCTACCTATGACAAAAAATGGAACGCCAACACCAGCAGCCTGTGAGAGGAGAACCTGAAAGTGGCACATGGCAGAGATGGGCGATGGAGACAGCAGCAATGGGAGGCAGTACAGGGGACCATGAGAGACTCTGGGCCTGGCAGCAGCATGATTGGCGGGTTACAGGGGCCCATGGCAGATTACGGGCCTGGCAGCAGCAATGGGAGGAACCCGTAATCTGCCAGCACCCTATGACAAAAAATGGAAACACACCAGCAGTGTGAGGAGACCTGAAAGTGGCACATGGCAGAGTGTGGCCGATGGAGACAGCAGCAATGGGAGGCCGTACAGGGACCCATGAGAGAACTCTGGACCTGGGCAGCAGCCATGAGGAGGCGGTACAGGGCCCATGGCAGATTACGGGCCTGGCAGCAGCAATGGGAGGCCCGTAATTGCCAGCACCCCTATGACAAAATGGAACACACCAGCGAGTGTGAGGAGACCTGAAAGTGGCACATGGCTGAGTGTGGCGATGGAGAACAGCAGCAATGGGAGGCCGTACAGGGGACCATGAGACACCCTCTGGACCTGGCAGCAGCATGAGAGGCGGTACAGGGGCCCATGGCAGATTATAGGCTGGCAACAGCAATGGGAGGCCGTATCTGCCAGCACCCTATGATCAAAATGGAACACACCAGCAGTGTGTGGGGAGACCTGAAAGTGGCACATGGCAGAGTGTGTGGCGACTGGAGACAGCAGCAATGGGAGGCCGTACAGGGACCCATGAGACACTGTGGACCTGGGCAGCAGCATGAGGAAGGCTGGTACAGGGGCCCATGGCAGATTACGGGCCTGGCAGCAGCAATGGGAGGCCCGTAATCTGCCAGCACCCCTATGACAAAAAATGGAACACACCAGCAGTGTGAGGAGGACCTGAAAGTGGCACATGGCAGAGTGTGGCGCAGTATGGAGACAGCAGCAATGGGAGGCGTACAGGGACCCATGAGAAACTCTGGAGGTCCTGGCAGCAGCATGAAGAGGGCGCTGCGGTACAGGTGGGGCCCATGGCAGATTACGGGCCTGCAGCAGCAGCAATGGGAGGCTACCGTAATCTGCCAGCACCTATGACTGATGAAAAAATGGAACACACCAGCAGTGTGAGGAGACTGAAAGTGGCAACATTCCACCAGCAGAGTGTGGGCGATGGAGACAGCGTGCTAATGGGAGGCCGTCGTACGGGACCATGTCTGACATCTTAGATGGTTGGACCTCGGCAGCAAGCTTGAGAGGCGGGCTGTTCAGGGGCCCATGCGAGATTACGGGCTGGCAGCAGCAATGGGTTTTGAGGCCTGTACCGTTGCACTGCCAGCCCTATGCAAAAAATGGAACTCACGACAGTGTGAGGAGACCTGAAAGTGGCACTATATTGGCAAGTGTGGCGGGATGGAGGACAGACTTTGTTGCAGCAATGGGATGGGCCGTAGGGACCATGAGACACTTCTGGACCTGGCAGCAGCATGAGGAGGTAGAATGAAAACAGGGGCCCTATGACGCATTTTCAGGTCACCGAATGCCTAGCATCCAGCAATGTGGCACCAACACAGCTGCATCTAGGCTCTGCCAACCCCCTATGACAAAAAATGGCGGACACAACCAGCATTTGTGTTCCAGGAGACCTGAAAGTGGCAGACATGCAGAGTGTGGCGATGGAGACAGCAGCAATGGTCGAGGCCGTACACTTTGGGCGGGACTCATGAGGAGCACTCTGGATCCTTGCAGCAACATGAGAAGCGGTACAGTGTGACCAGTCCTAAGGGGGGAGACTTACCAGGCCGCAGCCAGCAAGGAATCGGTGACAGGCCCAGTAATCTGCCGCACCCTATGACAAAAAAATGGTTGGAACACCACCAGCATTGTATTGAGGTCATGACCTGAAAGTGGCACATGCAAGTGGAGCCTGATGCGATGGGACACAGCAACAATGGGAGGCCGTACAGCTGGGACCCCTATTGAGACACTCTGGACCTGGCAGCAGCATGAGGAGGCGGTACGGGGCCCCATGGCGATTACGGCCTGGCTGCAGCAATGGGAGGCCCGTAATCTGCCAGCACCCTATGAACAAAAAATGGAAACACACCAGCGTGTGAGGAGACCTGAAAGTGGCACACATGGCAGAGTTTAGCGATGTGTATTTACTAGTAGCAATGGCCATGGCAGTTTACTACAGGGACCCATGAGACCACTGTGGTAACTGGCAGCTGCTACATGAGGAGTGCCGGTGGTACAGGGGCCCATTCAGAAGCATGATTAATCTGAAACGGGCCCTGGCCCTGTCTCAGCAATGGAGGCCCGTAATCTTCCATGCACCCTATGAACTTTGACTAAAATTGGAACACACAGCAGCAGTGTCAGGTGAACTGAGTGTATTCCAGGCACAGATGACAGAGTGTGGCGATCGGAGACAGCAGCAATTGGGAGGCCAATGTACAGGGGACCGA